GTGTAATTCTTTAATTTGGCAAGTTTTGCCTTCCTGGGGCATTTCTTTCATTATAATATAAGAAAATTAGACCAGTCCAAGCCAACATTTTGAGTTTTCTGGGTCAAAGCTATTGCCTTTTCCTGGCTGGCTACATGTTGACTTGTTGAGTTGTTGTCTCTTTCTCATCTTCTGAATAAGCAGAAAGACCAGTCGATAGCCATATGAAAATTTTAATTGGAATTTGTTTGTACCTAATCTCAGACCCCACACGGAAAAAAGCAAACTGATCCCAAGTCATACATGCTGTTTGAAAATTTGCACCACGAGTAGTTACATGATATAAACATGAGGAGCTTTTTAATTAGTGTAAATTGTATTAGATGATAACGCATAAAAGAATTGCCCGCAGACATCTCTGTCTAATACTCAGATTAGAGATTCATTGACCAACACTAATGGAATATGGGTTTGTTATTGAAACATAGTTGCTTTACTTCATGTACTGTACTACTGTACTAATGAGGAGGCATTGGACCCACATAGTACGTGAGAAGTGAGCAGCAACTGATTTCACCTAAATAGGTAAAATGTTGCTAGCTAAAAGCCTTGGATAATATAATCCAGAAAACAAGAAGCATATTTCGGGACTTCTATTATGTTCGTCCCCTATATTTGTTATTATCAGTTCTTGCTTTGAGTTGCATATGTACTCAAACTCAAAGAATTGCTGCTGTCACTCTGCCTCAAAATGAGGGTATGGTCTTCTTTTTTTTCCATTTTCTCCTTTGCAGCTAGTTGGTAAAAGTAGAGCTTCAATATATACACCAGAAGAATCTGTTCTTGTTCACCGTTTTCTTGATGCCAGGAACGTATGTTCTCTGATCAATAAAGTATAAGCATCAGAAGAAAAAAAAAAAAAAGTTATTTATTGCTCAAACTGAATAATCTTTTTTTTTTTTGGGAAAAAAAAGTTATTTTTTTTTTATGATAGACCAGTGGTTAATGGAGGATGTGCTCTAAAATGCTGATATTGTGCATGTAGTGGACGCTCTAAACCAAATTACCAAAAAATTGGGAGCCAGTAACTAGAGTTTCAGCGTCTATAATGCCTGTGGATCGCGCAACGGGTGGGCAAATAAACATCACCTGTAGCTGCGAGTTCAAGAACAACACTTGCCACGCTGTATTCCTGTAAGTTACCCAAGTTCAAGCTTTTAATGGCCATATGCAAGTTCGAAATTATGTTCAAATGGTGTCAAGGCATAAGATATATAAAATAAAGATAAAGTGCGGAAATCAAATTATATGTGAAGCAAAAAGATGAATTCTTGATTTTGATAGCCTCATAATTCTCCAAAAACCCAAATCATTAAACGCAAAAGAATATCATTTTATTTAAATTCAGCAAACTAAATTCAAAATTGAAGATTCAAATGATTGCTTCTTTGCACTATGAAAAAAATACATTGTGATCTTGGTCTCATTGTGATAGACCTGAATCAGCCATGTGGAAAGTGTCTGATAGAGTTTGATAAAATATTACCAGTTGTTCATGAAAATCACATTTACTAGTACGTCTTTCTTTACTTACATTTAAACTAGTTTTTTTTTATCAGCAAGGTTTCTGGTAATAGTATTCAGATTGGTGGTTGTGATGCTGCATCACAACCATTACATGGCATATTTTAATGATAATTCTATATTTATCCACCAGTCAGAATGTGCAATGCATCTTCTTTTTATTTCTTTTGACCGGACCTTGAAGGGCTGGATATCCAAATAGCTTCTTTTACCCCGAAGCAAATTAAAGCTGCCACTAACAATTTTGATCGTGCAAACAAAGTTGGCGAAGGAGGATTTGGACCTGTTTACAAGGTTTTGTGGCTTTCCTTTGGTTATCACCACTAGTGCTATTTGAACCTGGATTACTTTTGAAAGGTTCTACTGAAAATAATATTTCCATGAATGAGATGCAGGGTATGTTAGCTGATGGTACCATGATTGCTATCAAGCAGCTGTCATCTAAATCAACTCAGGGAAATCGTGAGTTCTTGAATGAGATAGGCGTGATTTCATGTTTGCAACATCCAAATCTTGTGAAACTTCACGGTTGCTGTATAGAAGGAGATCAACTATTGCTAGCATATGAATATATGGAAAATAACAGTCTTGCCCGTGCTTTATTTGGTAAGTAAAACATCCAGTGCCATATACAATAAAAAAAACCTTCATCCTAGAAGTTTAACACGATTGATATTTTGGAAAAAGAAAATATTTCTTTGGATGATTTCCCACAGGACGCCCAGAATGCAACCATTTGAAACTGGACTGGCAAAAAAGGCAAAAGATCTGTGTTGGAATAGCTAAAGGTTTAGCTTTTCTGCATGATGAATCAAGACTAAGAATAGTTCATAGGGACATCAAAGGCACCGATATTCTCCTTGATAAGGATATAAACCCTAAAATAACTGACTTTGGGTTAGCTAACCTCGATGACAAGGAAAAGACCCACATCAGCACTAGAATTGCTGGAACAATGTAAGCCATTTTGCTTTTTTATGGTAAAAACTTTTGTGCATATTGTAATTTTGCATTTGTTAAAATTGCTAACCTTTCGGTTTAAAAATTAATTAGTACATAATTTTTCTATATGCAGAGGATATATAGCACCAGAATATGCATTATGGGGTTATTTGACCCACAAAGCAGATGTTTATAGTTTTGGCATTGTGGCATTGGAAATTGTAAGTGGGAAGAATAATATGAATCGCAGGCTGTCTTCCGGAATGGGTAATCTACAATGAATATTTACATTTGTTTATTAAGATATTAGAATTTCTTTCATGCTCCTCAAATTGCATGTGCATTGATCTTGGATTCTGCTATACTTACATCTTTTTATTAGGTTTTCATATATCTTAGCTCCCTTGAAGTATTTTTATTCTCTTTGGTTGTTTCCATGCTTGACAAACAACGCATCCAATTCAGACACCATAGGATAGATTAGGAACTTAAATTCCTATAAGAGAAAGCGAAGATAATAAGAATATTCATGTCGATAAAGCAAAAGATATGTTCCCATATTATGATTTGTCATATTCTTGTTTCAAGACTTCCTAATGACCAAATACAAATACCCTTCCATTTCAGGCCTGTCACTTACAGCAAAGTGGGAACCTACTAGAACTAGTGGATGAGAGGCTAGGATCTGAATTCAACAAGGTAGAAGCAGAAAGGATGGTTGAAGTGGCTTTCTTATGCACAAATGCTACACCCTCCTTAAGACCAACCATGTCTGAAGTAGTGAGCATGCTTGAAGGAACTAGCATCATACCTGATGTAATCCCTGAAGAAAGTGATCATAATGGAGATTTGAGGTTTAAAGTCATGAAGGATCATTTTAAGACAGAGATGAGTGACAGATAGCAAGGAATTCAGGACCATAACACTAAATCAGTCAGGTCTTCACATGATTCTTCCTATGCTTCTACCAGTGATCTATAATGATTCATATACGAACCATACAGCCAGAAGTGGCCATTACAAGTAGATGGAAAGCCAAAGCGAGGTTTCCACATAAATCCTCTCAATGACTGACTCTGATCGTCAACCAGGATGATTTGGAAAGCTTTGGAATTGTATAATATTATTATTAAACAACCCAATTTCATAATAATTATAATATTGCCATGTGAGCGCATACTGTGGATGAAATGCAAATTTAATTACTCATTTAATTTTAGTCAAATAAAATCCAGGCTGTTCTTATCTTGAGAAGAAGATATTGCTTTTTGTTTTTTCTCCTTTTGATATTCCTTGCAAAAGCCAAAACTATCGGTGCCTAACTTCCTTTTACAATCTTTTTCTTCCCTCTCTACCTAACAAACAACAACGTGGAATTTTTATTATTACTGTTATTTTTTATAATAATAATAACAATTATTAGTACATTAAAAAGAATTATTATTATTGCTATTATTCTCGTATCAATAACGACTCTAAATTTTAAATTTTTTATTTTATATATAAACTTTAATAAAATATTAAATCGGAATTTAATGTACTTTTATCACCAATCCTATTTTTTTTAAATATAATTTTCCTTGATAATTAGAATTGTTCACCAACTTGCTAGATGTAGTTGTTATTTTGCCATAATTTTCCGCAATGAGCTGTACGGATTTTGAATATTTTAAGGTAATGACTTCTCCATGTCACTTGATTTGGATTCACATGAAAAAATATATGAAATTTCAATGTAAGATTTTTATTGTTTTATCGATTTAAACCTAAAAATTATTATTGTGGGCGGAATTATAGATTAATGACATATTGAACTTTAACAAAGTAATTTTGATTTATATTTTTAATGAAATATTGAATATAATAAACATGGATTTCACAAAATTTATAAAAAATATCACATTTCATTGTTTTATTGGAAAATAAAATTTATAAATTTAAAAGGATATTTTAGAAATAAAATGTAGTAGTTTAAATTTTATTGTTTTTATAGTAAATGAATTCAGATTTTGTATGCACGTGTAATGATTGCAAGAGCGCGATTGAAGATTGCCAATTTTCTTATAGCCACTCAATGCTCACAATTTTTAAAGCTAATTTAAAAAACAAATTATAAATAACAAAAATATGTCTATTGGCTGTGGAGAGTCAACTTCTTAAATCTTGCCTTTCTTCAACATTGCCTTTCATTAACTAGTTACATCATATAATAATACGTAGCATTCAATTGGAATTTGGAAAATACTCTGCAGTTTGAAGTTTGAACTTTAAACTTTCAAGAAAGCCATCTTTTGAGAAAAAAACATCATTCACTCAAAAACTCAATAAGATACATGCACTAGCACATAAATCTATCATGGGTTAAACACTTATGCCAAAAAGAAAAAAGAAAAATGAAAAAAGAAAAAACAGGCGTGAGTATGAAATTTTAATATGGGGTTTCTACAATTATAAAAAAGATATTTAATGGTATAAAATAAATGAAAGAAGGAATACAAATTCATAATTAATGAAAGAGACAGATCAAAGTCCAAACTGAAACCAAAACAGTTTATCCAATTCAATTCCAATGTCTTTACTTTGAGGAAATTATTTTTTATAAACTTGCTTCAAATAGTCACACATCCACAGTTGCATTAAACTAATTACTATACATAGAGAGAATTATTATTATTATTTTATGGCTCTGACATGATTATTTTTCCTTTGGATTTCGCAACTGCTTGAATTATTACTCTTACCACATCTTGTAAACTTGTAAAATCAGCTTTACAATTTACAAACTTTCCAACTGGGTTGTTGTTTCTCAGCTGATTCTGTTATTCCAGTTCTTGAAAGTCATGCTTGCCATGAAGCTCTTTGTTTTCTTGATTATTGCTCTCAGTTGCTTCAAGTTGCTGAGATTTACGGGGGCAAAGTTGGTCCAAGAAGAAGGTGAGTGTCTGTGATCTCTCTCTCTTGGTTATTACATTTGTCTGGGCGTGCTTAGCTGAAAACTTGCACAGAACTGCGAAGGAATTGGAATTCCAGATTCTGGGTTTTGTGTTATTTGCATTTTAATGGAGGAAAAACTTGTTTGGTGCTCTAAGTTTGTGGGAAAGGAAAGAGAGTGAGATTTGAACGTTACGTGTCGGGTTACTTGGAGTTTTTATAAAGGAGTTTTCTGTTTGAGTGCTGAGACAATTTGGGAAAATGAAGGAACTTAGAAATTTTGATGCTTGGTTTTTGTTTGTTTGGAAATTGATGTAATAAAGGTGTAATCTTTTTATCATTTGTTTGCGAGTGAAATTCTGTTTCTTTTAATGAATTTTCTATGCAATGACATTGAAACATAAGCATTTTCTGGTGTTCTGTAGTTACTGGAGTTGTTTTACGATTTTTTTCATCTTGTACCATAACTGTGACTGGGAATAGAAGGTCATGCTAGAATAGGAAGTGGATTAAATTTATAAAAACAATTCAGGACATACGAGGATCTTGCGTCCAGAAAAGGAAAAACACAAAACAATCACGTGTTTTCATCTCAAATTTTTCTTGTTGTCAAATTCTAAGTGCAGTCATCTCACTGGTTATATTGCTCTGTTTGGAATTTCTATATGCATTTTTCTTTAGGGTTCATCTCATATGCTAAACTCTTGCGTGATTCTTATTTGCTTATGGATTATGTGTAGTTGATGCTCTTGAAGAAATTACAAGGACAATGGGTTCAACATACTGGAAGTTTAATGCTGATTCTTGTGAAATTGATGCGGTTGGAGTAACACCAGTGCCGCCTACGAATGCGAAGCACAACATAGAATGCCAATGCAATAATGGGAACGTTAATGATTGTCATGTCATAAAGATGTATAGTTCCCTCAATGCCAATGCAATCCATGTGCTTAAGGGCATTTCAGTATCCTTTTGTTTGGAGCTTATTTTATGTTCGCATCCATTTTTGCTTCCATTCTTGTTATTGTTGTTGTGTGTTGGGAAAATATTACGATAAGACATGTCATTTGTTAGTCCAGCAATGTTATTGCATAAGCAGCCTTTTTTTTTTTCTTTTTTTTTTTTTTTTTAAATTAGTCCAGCAAATGTTATTGCATTAAGGCAGCCTTTTTTTTTTTCTTTTTTTTTTTTTTTAAAGAACAACAAGTATTACTTTACATTGACAAACATTAATATAATTAATGTCTATCTGTTTTTTTTTTTTTTTTTTTTTTTTTTTTTAAAGAACAAGAAGTATACTTTACATTGCAAACATTAATATAATTAATGTCTATCTGCCACTGCCATGCCCCAAAAGTGAATGCAACATGCATCCAATAGAAATCAGTACATAGCTAGTTAAATAGGTTCTGCATCCTTAAATTGTAGGCTTATTTTATATAATACGCTTGTCTTACTGCTGTTGTTTTGATATGATGGGAATGGTCACAGAGTATATTTGTTGTGTATTAAGTCTACAAAATGCATCCTAGGATAGCTCCGGATGTTGTAACTTGAGAATGGAAGCTCCATTAAACAATAGATTTCTAATTTTGTTTAAGTCTCAGCAAATGCATACATCACCATCACTCACATTTATACTAGAATTATGTAGATGTATGTGGGAGCAACTGCGTTTATCATTATAAAGGAAAGTAATTAACGATACATGATGTTTTAATTTATTGTGGCAAGCCCCACTAGGTAAGAGAATCTTGAAGAACGAAGAATATTGATTTTGTTTTCTTTGTTTCGTTTCTTGCATTGTTGACATGAACTACATAAGTGTAATGTTGAATACATTTGAAATAAACCAACTTTCATCATGGAAAATTTAAATTCAGCCTATTTCCTTTGTTAGAATGGTGTCATGATTAATGTACTCTTGATTGCTTTTTTTTTTTTTTTCTCCTCTTTTTGGCTTCTAATACCAAGAATTTGACTTCCCCTTTATTTCAGAATGCTCAAAGGTTATAATCTTCCTGGGGTTCTACCTTCTCAACTTGTTAAGCTTCCTTACATCCAAGAAATGTAATAATCTCCTGAAATGTTCAAATATCTTCTTTGATTTTTCTAGTTCAACATGCTATTACTAGACTTGAAGGCAAATGAAAATCTTTAGCTACATTTTAATGACTTTTCCTTTCTATTGTAGTGATTTTGCTTACAACTTCCTTAATGGTTCTATACCACGCGAATGGGCTTCATTGGGATTGACTTTAATGTGAGAATTTACCAACTTAAATGCAATTGAGTGTAGACTTTTCCAATCATTCGCTGACAAGCTTATTTCATGCAGCTCTGTTCTTGTAAATCGCCTGTCTGGGGAGATTCCAAAGGAATTGGGAAATATTACCACTCTCAAGTATCTGTAAGTTCCTTCCAAACCTCAGCTGATTTTTTTTTTTTCCCCATTTTTCATGGAATTATTGTGGTGATCACAGACACATTTAATATGATTTCATATCAACGGGAAAGGTTATTAATGTAATCAATGATTTCTGAGTTCCCTGTTCAGTGCATTGGAAACCATTGAAGGGCAGACAATTCAGTTATCTTAGTAGTCTCAATAACTTACTTATACTCCTTTCTTTTTCCTTTTTGGTCTTTCTTCAGGTCCCTTGAAGCCAACCAATTTTCTGGTGTTATACCTTCTGAACTTGGAAAGTTAACCAACCTGCAAACATTGTATGGTGTCATATTTTTCCGTGGTCCTTACATTGCAAAATATTATCTAAGGATGAGATATTGTGTATTCTGACAATCTCTTGGTGTAATCTTGTACTTTCAGGATGCTCTCTTCCAACAAGTTCATTGGAAACTTGCCAGTGTCCTTTGCAAGGCTAACTAACGTAACTGATTTGTAAGCTTTTATAGCATTCTCCTTTGATACAATCATTTACATTGTTAGTTTTGTCAAATAAACAGCTTTTGATCGAACAATGCAGGAGGATAAATGATAACAACTTTAATGGAACCATTCCCAACTTTGTACAGAATTGGAAAAAGCTTACCAGATTGTAAGATCTCTATTTATCTTTATTTCCAATTTTTGAGTTACATATTCTTATTTTGTAATGGTTCTTATTTAAAATGTGAATCATCAAAGAGAAATGCATGCAAGTGGACTGGAGGGGCCCATCCCATCAGATATTTCTCTTTTGAATAACTTAGTTGAGTTGTAAGTATTAAGTCTAGTCCCTATTACTCTTATATGATGCAATTATTCTTTAGCGCCTTCATCCTCTTTTTTCTCATCTTTGGGTAATATTATTACAGGAGAATTAGTGACTTACAAGGACCAAGCCAAGGTTTCCCTAACCTAAGTAACATGACAGACATAACAAGATTGTATGCTGAGTTTGCTGTCAAGGCATATATACTGTAGTTGTTTCATTTGATTATGGTGATGTAATGTGATTCAGTTATTTATGCTAGGGTTTTGAGAAACTGTAACATTTCTGGGAAGCTTCCTGCCTACATCTGGAAGATGAAGAATTTGGAAATGCTGTAAGTAGACCAATGTAAAGCTTGGTGCGTACGCATCCTAAATTATAACTGTTTGTTATATTCTTTATTAGTAATTATCTGTAAATGGCACATACATAAAACCTATGTTTCCTTTTCTTTTGTTTCTATTTTCTATTTTGGTCAGCTCAAGGCATTAGTAATTTTACTTCGGTAGCAGGACTGCAAGAAAACTATTACTTGTTGGCATTATTATGTTCTGTTTGTTATAGGGATATGAGTTTCAACAAGTTAGTTGGGAGACTTCCAGATACCATACCTGCAGAAAAACTGAGATTTGTGTAAGTATATGGCTTGTGTTTTTGGCTTGATTTGATTAAATTCTTATGAACCTCACTGCAAAGATTAATATATTTTAAGATCTTAACAAACAAGCTGAACATTAAGTACAAAGCTGATGTATGTAAATTGAGGAATGTGTATATGCTTTTGGGCACTTAAACAAACATATATGAGATTTTTTTTCATAGATAAGCTGGCTTTCTGGTTTGGACCGTGTCATAAACTCTACACCAATACAAATCACAATTTTTATATCAGAGTTTTTATAATTGCTTCCGTGGTTTATTACTGATATAGATATTAATTTGATTGCTTGGGTAGCTTTTTAACTGGCAACTTGCTAAGTGGAGATGTGCCAGATTCAATCATGAAGGAAGGAAGCAACATGTACGTATCTTAACTCAAATATTATTTCCAAGATTTGTCTTGTCAGTTTCTCTCTTATATTTGTCTCCTTTCCTATCCTTTTCATTGTTATGAATGCTGAATTAGTGAATTGGTTTGCCTCTGTTTTATTTATTTCGCCAACCAATATATGGCCTTGGTTTAAAAATTTTTAGGCCAAGTGACTGACTCTGTTTCCTGATGCTTGTACACAGTGACCTGTCATATAATAACTTTACATTACAAGGGCCTGAGCAACCTGCTTGTCGGGAGAACATGTAAAGATAATCTTCGAGTAATTATCCTCAATGTGTCGTCTGGCTTCGTATAGTTTTGGATCTGAGTTGTTTTTTCATTTTTTTTGTTTCACTAGGAACCTAAACTTGAACCTATATCGAAGCTCGACGGCATTGAACAGCTCGTAAGATGCTTTCTTCTTATTTTGTTCTGTTCTTTGTTTGGAGCCTTACTTTAAAATATGGAAGAATTTATAAGTTAGATATATTTTCTATTAATGCACTTTGTAGATGGAATGCTAAATTATTTTCATTTTTGCTTTCTGATAGCAGACAGCTTCTTCCATGTTTGAAGACTTTCAAATGTCCTCAGTGTGAGTAGATTTCTTTCAAGTTTGATTTTGGTATTGACAGCTGTAAAATTTAATTCTAAGTTTCACGGCCTAATTCATAATTTCTTCAGAACCAGTAAATTTACCTTCAGATGCTTCATCTATTCTCTTCATTTACTTATTTATTTCTGTGATTGCAGATTCAAGTTGTTTGCATGTTAACAGTGGTGGAAAAGATACAACCGTCAAGGAAAACAAAACATCCATTTTATATAAAGGAGATGTAGCAGTTGAAGGTGGTACAGCAAAATATTTTATAAATGAGCAAAGTTACTGGGGATTCAGTAGCACCGGTGACTTTATGGATGATTATGATTACCAAAATACTCGTTATACTGTGTCTCTGTGGTCATCAAACACTACGGAATTGTACTCAACAGCACGCATAACACCAATTTCTCTTACATATTTCCATTACTGTTTGAAAAATGGGAAGTATATGGTAAAACTTCACTTCGCAGAAATACAATTCACTAATGGCAAAACATATGAGAGTCTGGGGAGGCGCATATTTGATATTTATATTCAGGTAAATTGTCACACTTATGAAATCAAACATTTATGAATTGATCAGACGTTTATGAAGTTGTAACAGAACTGATTAAACTTTTATAAAGTTGTAACTATTACATTGTCACAGGAAAGATTGGTAAGGAAAGATTTCAACATTGAAGATGAAATTGGTGGTGCTCAAAAGCCTTTAGTAGTACCAGTACCTGATGTCAACGTGACCAATAATATCTTGGAGATCAGATTTTATTTTGCTGGTAAAGGAACAACTAGAATTCCTGACAGAGGGGTTTATGGTCCCATCATATCAGCCATCTCTGTAGCTTCTGGTGAGTCTTCTATATAGTATTTCCTTGCTATTTTACAATTGTTCAAGGTAATTTTAGTTTGATGTAATTTATTGTTTGATTGGCAGATTTGAAACTTTGTTCAGCTGCTGGAAAGAAGGGAACTGCTTCTACTGCTATTGGAGTTGTTGCAGGAGTATCGTGCCTTATTTTCATTGTACTGGGAATTCTTTGGTGGAGAGGCTATTTGCCAGGAAAATGGGGAAAAAAGAACGGTAAATGTTTTTTTGTATATAAAGAGAACGAAAGTTATACAATATTAATATATACCTTGTTTAGTGAAATTCCATATTGGAAAGCATTTCTTCTTGCAGATGCTGAAAGAATTGCGCATGTATGATTTAATTGTAAGACCTGAAAAAACCATATGATATTCCAACTTTCTTTTGTGAAAACAATATTTCAGCTGAATAATGATGATTATCCTGGTTATCATAACAGTGTTAATAACCAGGTTATAGTACTAAGTTAATTATGTAAACAATTGATGGGTCAAATGTTTCACAAATATAGCATTCTGGTTTTCTATAAAAGGGAAAGAAAGTATATAGACATATGCTTCTGTTGACAGATGAAAGGTACCCTTCTTAAAGGGTTCGTAGCCATGCTTTACTTTGTTAATATAACTTGCTAGATCCTACTGGAGTTTATTTGCTTTCTTGTGCTGTTTTCATCTAACTATAACTCCCCTTGGTGTTAAATTAAAAATTGACAATCCCTTGGCGCTTCCTTGGACAGATCGTGAAAGACTAGATTTGCCGACAGGGACCTTTTCCTTGAAACAAATCAGAGCTGCTACTGATGACTTCAATCCTGCTAACAAGATTGGAGAAGGTGGTTTTGGTCCTGTATACAAGGTATTTTAGCCAACAATTTCCCCTATTCCTATTTGAAGTATTAACACTGTTTTCTTCTTCAATTATATGAGGTTATGAGTAGTGGTTATGATGCAGGGTGTAATGTCTGATGGAACTGTTATAGCTGTAAAACAACTCTCATCTAAATCAAGGCAAGGAAATCGCGAATTCTTGAATGAGATAGGAATGATTTCTTGTTTGCAACATGCAAATCTTGTCAAGCTGCATGGATTTTGTGTTGAGAGTGACCAATTATTGCTGGTGTATGAGTACTTGGAAAATAATAGTCTTGCCCGTGCTTTGTTCGGTGAGTCTGTTTGAACAATGTTATATGTGAATATGATCTGTTATGTATGAGATTTTCTTGTGGGATGATTTGTAGGTAATGAAAATAAACGGCTTAACCTGGATTGGCCTACGAGGCATAAAATCTGTATTGGCATTGCTAAGGGTCTTGCTTTCCTCCATGAATCAAGATTTAAGATTGTTCATAGAGACATCAAAGCTACTAATGTGCTGCTTGATAAGGACTTGAACCCAAAAATATCCGACTTTGGATTGGCGAGGCTCGATGAAGATGAAAAGAGCCACATCAGCACCCGAGTTGCTGGAACCATGTCAGTAATCACATTCCTTAAAACATCTCTGCGTTTGATTTTGTGGAGTTAGCAATATCATATTTTGTCAAGTGATACTAATTTTTCTTTTCCAAAAATAATCACAATTTTGATTTTCAGAGGGTATATGGCACCAGAATATGCGCTATGGGGTTACCTGACCGACAAAGCAGATGTTTACAGTTATGGAGTTGTGGCATTGGAAATTGTTAGCGGGAAGAACAACAATAATTTTATGCCAAGCAATCATTGTGTTTGTCTCTTAGATTGGGTAAGCTTACTTTTTCACTGCATTAACATTGTTTCCATCGGCACAATTTACCGAGTTTGAAATGATCATGAAAAGAAATTGTTATCGTTTACTCTAATTGCAGAAACTTTTGATGAACTGAAAATTTTAAATAATGAATAAGAAAGAATATATTGTAGGCCTGCTATTTGCAACAAAGTGAAGATCTGATGCAGCTTGTTGACGAGACATTGCGGTCTGAGTTTAACAAAGGAGAAGCAGAAATTATGGTCAAAGTAGCTTTGTTGTGCACAAACGCATCCCCTACAATCAGACCAACCATGTCCGAGGTTGTGAACATGCTCGAAGGCCGAACGGACGTTCCGGACGTGGTTCCAGAACCAGGTGGCTACACTGAAGATTTAAGGTTTAAGGCCACAGAATAGATATTTTGCGAATGGGCTTTTGTTTATTCGTTGGGGTTAATCCCCCTGAGCGAAAGACAACAGAGCATGCATTGTCTTACTAGCTTTAATGGAGTTTGAATGGCATTGGGAATCAACCTGCATATATAGAGCTGTGAGAGGCGATAACTGCACACACAAATGATTATTCTGTAGTGTCCTCCAGAAGAGTACACAATCCATTGTGTTTGTCCTATATTATAGATTGGGCCCTCAATGATTTATTCCGTTGTTCCTTATCGCATTCAATGCACTTCACTTGAGCTAATTAAAAGAATTATGTTATCCACATCATACGGTGCGAATTACAAATCAATATACGACAGAATGTAGACGTTTTCCGGAAATGATCATCCGAGCAATAGAACGCAATATTTTGTGTGAGCTTCCGGTTTACTCTAATGTGAAACTGTGAGGAAACTATATAATTTGAGAATATTGGAAACGCGATAATATTTATGCGAACTTAATTCCCATGCCTTTTTATAGCAGGATAGAGCATAAGTAATATCCTCTCGACAGTAGGCAGTGAGCACTACGCACTATTTGCGTCTAAAAGTGAATGTGATCCTGATGGGCAGCGTTAGTTGAACGCCCGCTAGGAACATGTTCGCGGTCTGAGTTTAAACGGAATTTTAAGAGATATAGCAGAAAGTTATGGCTCAAAAGGTAGCTTTGTTTTGTGCACAAACGCATCCCTAAACAATCAGAGCCAACCATTGTCCGAGGTTGTGAGCATGCAATCAGACCAACCATGTCCGAGGTTGTGAACATGCTCGAAGGCCGAACGGACGTTCCGGACGTGGTTCCAGAACCAGGTGGCTACACTGAAGATTTAAGGTTTAAGGCCATGAAAGACCTCCGCAAACACTCTCAAAGTTTAAGTGGGAGTCAAACCCAAAACTCAACTACAGCACATACATTTGGCTCTTCCTCATCTGACCATAACACCTATGAGATCAATCCAGAATAGAAACCCTAACTGTACCTGGGTACTAATTGGACACTTGAAGAGAGCCATTGTCACCAAGAAAAAACAAGTTCTTGAGCAATTGCTCATTGGAATTTTGATAATTAAATACAGGTGGGGATGCATTGATATTGTGTAAATATTTTGTAAAATTTTATGAAATTATAAATATAATTTATTCAAATATTTTGTAAAAATGCGATTTGAGTCATCCTCGAAAGATCCGTTAGATCACTTCCTAATTGATTTTTCCTTCTAAACCTCCACATAATTTTCCGTTCACCTTTCCAACTTCTATGGCCATTCCTATATTATTTAGATAGATCTTAATTTTAGAATTACATCAGCAAGTCTCTGTAGCCCAGTGGTAGGGCATTTGCCTTTTAAGCAAGCGGTCGTGAGTTCGAACCTCACCAGAGGCAAGATTTTTTTTTTTTTTTGGGCTTCTATTGTTTGTTAATATAGTATCATAATAATTTTACAAATTAAAAAAAAAAAAAAAAAAAAAAATATAGGTATCATAATGAATTTTACAAATTAAAAAAAAAAAAAGAAAAAAAAAAATCAACTTGTCTGAATCTGAAAGTTGTGGTCAAAGTGAAGGAATCAGTTAGCAAATCCCAGCTGCGGCCTTAAGAATCTGCCGCAGTAGCCAGTCAATTTGGAAAGGATATCATGCTAAAAAAACTGCAGATATTCTCTGCAGCAGCAGTCGTTACGGCATATGCTAATGAGTTCAGAAAGTGTTAAACTTGCTATTTAAAGGAATTGTTATGCCCATTCGGTATTTTCTACAGAAATCAAACAAGGGCCCACTATGAGATTTAAAAAAAAAAAAAAAAAAAATCAACTTTCTGAATCTGAGTTGTGTCAAAGTGAAGGAATCAGTTAGCAAATCCAGCTGCGCCTTAAGATCTGCCCAGTACCAGTCAATTTGGAAGGATATCCATGCTAAAAAAACTCAGATATTCTCTGCAGCAGCAGTACGTACGGCATATGCTAATGAGTCAAAATTTACTTGCATATTTAAAAATTTATCCATTTCGTATTTTCTACAAATCAAACAAGGCCCTATATTTATTTGTTTAGTGGGTCAACAACGCCCATCTCCAAAGCTATAATTTCTATACATTCATTTAACAACACCACAGCCACAGCTGTGTCTCCATCCGCAACAATAAATCAGTATGCTTTCTAACCAATAATGCATGCATGTAGGATGTAATGACTGACCTTTCCACAATGACATGCCCAAACAGGATAGAGAAAATTTCATTTTCAATTCACATTTCAATATTATTTGTAAAAGTCATTGATTTATTTTTGAAACTTAATTTTATTAAATTATTTAATTCCTTCAACTAAAAAATATTATTTTTTACTATTCAATATCTTGTAATATTCTGATTATTTGGTCGTTAATTTCACATTTGAAAAAGATTATTGTTCAACTTATATGTAAGGTCCATCTTCAAACTTCAGGCAAGTTTCTTGACATTCCATCTATCTAAGTAAAGCTTGAGATGTTTTGTTTTTTCATTAGTAAAATAAAAACGAATTATTAGGGAGGACAATATTGTAATTTTTTTTTAAAAAAAAAATTACTAGTATACAACTATGATTAAAGATTATTAATGCAAAATATAATAATTAACATTAATAGTTTAATTATCTTTTTTATCAGTAATCAAATTATTGAACTTGTCTATAAAAGTTCTCAAATTTTCAAATGGGTTCCAAGTGACTGAGAGAGAAACAAGAAGATGGCAAGATGTGGTGATACTTTGAGAACCACCTCTATCTTCCTGATAATGTGCATGGTGGTAGCAATAAACATTGGAGCACAAGCTCAGTATCTTCCTAAAAATGAAGGTATAACTAGCTGTAATAACTTCATAACCGGCAGCGAATAACCCAAAATTTGAAAATCAAATATATGAGAATTTGATTTGTGTTTGTAGTCCAAGGTCTACGCGAAATAGCAAAACAAGTTGGGAAAAAAGATTGGAACTTTAGTGTGGCTCTTTGCAGTAATCACTCAAGTTGGCAGACACCAAAATCAGCTGATAAGCCATTGTATAACAATAGTGTCATCTGCAACTGCTCATACCCACTTGGAGCTTGCCATGTTATTAGCATGTAAAAGAATAATTCTTTATAACATATTATCCAATTAAGTTTTTACCCATTCTATTTGATAGGTTCTAATACTAAATTCTTTTAATGCACAGATTTATTAAAGGGCAAGATCTTACTGGTGCTCTTCCAACATCTATTTTTTTTAATTCTTAAATTTCAATGTCATTTAAGATGAATAATAGGAAAATTATATGAATACAATTGTCATTTTAATCATAATAATTGTTATTTCTTAATACGTGTAAAAATAGAAAGTGTACTGTTGTTTTTTTAATGGAGGGAGTACAATTCACTGCAGCATAGACTGCCTGTAAAAATAATGGGAATTTGAACTTTAGGACCATGATAATGATTTTGCCTGTAACTGCAAGCAATTAATTTTGAAATGGATAAAGAATTTGGTCAATTAATGTTTTGCTTTCTCTCTTGGTTGGCTATGGCTTCCTCTCCCTCTCTTTCAAAAGAAATCTGAAATCTTTTGAAAAAACTGTCTTCTCGATTTTTTTACCCTATTTCGTCTTTGTCTAACATAACATAACATAACATAACATAAATGTTTAATAAAAAAGACAACTTGTTAATCAAAATGCATCAAGCAATGAACAAAGTTCCGGACTTCCGGCTATGGATATGTTGCAACAGCAGCACGTGCTTCTTATTTAATTAAATGATGGCTAAAGCTAAGAGCCAAAAGTGGACTATTTTTTTTTTTTTTGAAAGAGTAAAAAATATTCATTCACTCAAGGAAAAAATTCCGAATACAATCGGGGACGCGGTCCCAAATTTGAGTACGAGCAAAACGATAAGACGCTCTAGCAAGAATATGAGCGTTAATATTCGCTTGTCTACGTACTCAAATAATCTTAATATCAGGCCTAGTATCTAGAATGAACTTACAATCTGACGTAACAATACCGAAATAAGATAATTCTAATATTTTGGATTTTAAAGCATGAAAAACTAAAAGAGAATCCAGGCAAATGAATCCATAACCATCCCAAAAGTTACGGATGTGGACCAGACAAGCTCAAAGAGCGACAGCTTCAATAATAGAAGGATCACCACCACCGTCATAGAATCCTGAAACTGCTTGAAGGAAATGACCATCATCATCTTCAAAAACAAACCCATAACCAGCAAGTCCTACGTCTTGGAAGATGGCTCCATCCACATGCACATGCCATGAAGAGCTAATACCTGCAGTGATGTTTTGTACACTAGGAGGCGACCAAGGACCAGCCAAAAGTGGACTATTGAGTGAAGTCTTCGCGGCCTTGACTAGATATTATATTTATTACATGTGGACCCATCCATCATCTCAGCCCAGTACAGCCACATAACCCATAAGATATAAACTTTTCATTCGAGAAGGTAACATTACAGCGAAGAATCACGCAAGTAACTCAACTGGGGATTATCCATGTTTAAACTATCCGTCTACTGACCATTTCATTGATTTGCAGCTCATAGGCATAGCTCAGGAAGGAGAATATGGCAATGTTCCTTCAAATTTTAAGAACTTTTTTTAGCTCAGTTGTGTTTGTACTGCTGATTTTCATGGCCATGTTAGCAACTGAAGTTAAAGCACAAGAAGGGCAACTTCCTAATGCTGAAGGTAAATCAATTAATGGGTTTTCTCCTTAACCCCTCAAAATGCAGAAAGTGACAAGCTTTACGTATGTGCAGTGGAAGCTTTAAACTTCCTAATGCTGAAGGTAAATCAATTAATGGGTTTTCTCCTTAACCCCTCAAAATGCAGAAAGTGACAAGCTTTACGTATGTGCAGTGGAAGCTTTACAAGAAGTGGCAACACAATTGGGGAAAAAAGACTGGAACTTTAACGTAGATTTTTGCAGTAACGATACAAGTTGGGCCACACCAAATTCAGACCGAAGTGCATCAAATGGAGTGATTTGCAATTGTTCTTTCCCTGATGGAGAATGCCATGTAGTGAGCATGTTAGATCCCTCTTAACTTTATGTAACTCATGTTCATATTTCAATGTTCAAATTACTTTTTGAATTGTAGCGGTTAACTAACCAAAAGTATTACTCAATAATTTTTGAGACTGGTGTGATACGGATTGATGTTGTGGAAGGGTAATAAATGCTACTTAGTTATCTTTTCTAGGTCAATGAGAAGTTATAATTACATTTTTCATTTGGAATACTATATTTTGGAATTTCTATAAATTCTGGTGGTGGAATTTATGGACCTTGATTCTTGTTATACAGAAGGCTTGATAGACAAGATCTTGCTGGTGTGCTGCCTCCTGCTATTGCGAAACTACCTAACCTTACTAACCTGTAAGAAGTTTGTTAATTTCGATCAATTTGTGTACACCGTTTAACACCTGTAGAATGGACTGGAAGCTTATATCAATTACAATTTTACTGGTGCACAGTTCTCTTGATCGGAACTACCTCAGCGGTAATATACCAAGTGAATGGGCTTCTATGAAGTTGGAAATCCTGTAAGCAGTGTCTGCAAGTCAACGTTATTATCGCTAATGAATGTTCATTTGTACTGAATTAATATGCACTGCAGGAAAGTTTCTGCTAACCGATTAACAGGACAAATCCCAGGCTATTTGGGAAACATTGTGACACTTAGAATCTTGTATGACAGCTCGATCTCTCTCTTTTATTGCATTTTCAGTAGAAAGTAATTTAAACTGTTTACGTGATTAGCTTGTGATAATCTTGAGCTAAAATTTATTCAGGAGCCTCGAGACAAATATGTTTTCAGGAACTGTTCCCCCTGAGCTTGGAAACTTGGTTAACTTGGAGATTCTGTTAGTCCCTTAAACCTTTTCTGTCAGAAAATAGTCTTTGATTTTGATAATAAATAGTAAATTGACATTATTATTTGTATATATTGTTTTTGCTCTTAGCGTTCTTAGCGCAAACAATCTGACTGGAACATTACCGGTGGCTCTCACAAATTTGACAAAGCTAACTGAGCTGTAAGTCTTTGTAACATTTGACAATGTTGCAATGCTGTTAGGTTTAAAATTTTTTTATCGAATTAATCTCTTAACTTTTGTTTCTTTTTAATCTAGTTTTTGATTTGGGTCATATGCAGTAGGATTAGCAGCAACAACTTCATTGGAAAATTGCCTAATTATTTTCAAAGCTGGAAAAATCTTCAGAAACTGTATGTCCTAATTATTTTCAAAGCTGGAAAAATCTTCAGAAACTGTATGTGCCTTTTCCTATCTCAAATTCTGAATCTAATATGCTAGTTTCTTAATTCTAAATCCCTTTTGAATTGCATGCTAATAGAGAAATCCAAGCTAGTGGTCTTGAAGGGCCCATTCCTTCTAGCATTTCTGCTTTGAATAATTTAACTGAACTGTAAGTTTTGCCTTTTAAGTTGATCACTCATACAATCTTACTTATCCTTACATCCTCATGTGCTTTTGAAAGTTGAAAACTGTGTATCTGACAATTATTCTTATTCTATATTGTGTAGAAGGATTAGTGACTTACGTGTAGAAGGATTAGTGACTTACAAGGAGAAGGTTCAGAGTTTCCGCAGTTAGAAAACTTGACAGGGATGAATAAGTTGTAAGTCCTTATTGACGTTGATGGATACTTTAAAATAAGAATATATCTTCTGCAGTAATTTGGCTTATGCGAAGATAATTCATGTTGCAGGATGTTGAGGAATTGTAATATATCCGGATCTATCCCACCATTTTTTGCAGCAATGCCAAATTTGAAAATTTTGTAATCATTTGTTCCCTTGCTTCCATTTTTTTTCCCTATATTTATACAAGAAAAATTGGAGGCTTATTATTTATTATAATTAAGATTATAATTGACTTATTATTTTCCCTGCAAACTAATTTTTAAAGATTTTTGTCATCAGTTGTTTTAGTTAAAAAACAGAAATATTTCCATGCAGAGATCTCAGTTTCAACAGATTGGGGGGAAGTCTTTTGGCAGATCTTGAAGGTCTAACGAAAATGGAGAATGTGTAAGTTTCTAAATTCATGATGGTGGTTAGATTGTATAGCTTCTAGTGCATAGGGAGGCTTTCAATGTTTCAAAATTTAAATTTAACAAGTTGACACCTCACTTTGTAGCTTTATATTTTTTTGAAGTCCAACAACACATCTAGCAGAAGCAAAAAAAACTTAAATTTATATGCTTAACTGTTATTTATAATATGATCGCCTTCTAAATTTGGTTTTATCAAGGATGCCCCTATCCTACCATGATCAGCAGCTGCACAAGTGCTTTATGAATCTTTATGAAAATTTGTGCTTTATGAATGAAAATCTGAGTTTGATTCTCATTGAATAAACATCAAATTTCCTTGATTGCTCTGTACTGCTTTTTGAAATAGTAATGATGCTAGAAGGATAAACTGAGAGGAGACTTTCTTTTCCTTTTCCTTGTATAATATAAAATTATAACACTATATATTGTAACACTTTGGATAGCATATAAGTTAACCTTGAAAGTCAATAATGGCCTTTTGAGGGGAGAAAGTTTGACTCTCTCTCTTTACTCTCTTCCTTTCTCCTTTTCACGAAGTATAATGATGAGTGTCTGCTATCTAACAAATTGACATGATGCTGCCTGATGAATAGGTATCTAACAAGCAACTTGCTTTCTGGATCCATCCCTGATTGGCTGACAAATGGAGATACTCGTGCGTATGTGTGTTTTCCTAAATCCTGCATTTGTTTTTGCATGAAAATATGTTGATTATGTATTATTATTCCGTCCTAAAGAAATTAATATGTTGATTATGTATTATTATTCCGTCCTAAAGAAATTATACTTCTGACTCAAATATATATTTGTTGTGCATGCATGCTCAGGTAGCCTTACAAACATAGATTATGTGTGTAAATTCCTGATCTGGACAAAGATTCACCTCTTTAGTTCAGTTGTAGATTCCATTCTGCCATATGGAATGCATGAATCCGTATCATCTACTAAAAATTTTTCGATGTTGTTCTTGCTTTATATGGAACATGGAAGTGGACATTGGTGTTGAATTTTTGCCTTTCATCCGCATAATTCTTTTTCATCCAGTCTCAGGGATTGAACCCAGAAATTGGGTGTTGAATTTTTGCCTTTCATCCGCATAATTCTTTTTCATCCAGTCTCAGGGATTGAACCCAGAAATTGGCTCAGTAGCAAAAGTGTGTCCTTCCAAGTGCTTAAGTTTAATGAAGACTTGGGATCAAATCCCGCAGCTGGAGCCAACTATTTTGCTTATGGATGAAGAGGGTTGTTTTAATTTTTATGCTGGCAAGGTGGGGTTTAGGGGTTGGGGAAGCTAAATCCCTTGTGTTGCCTGCTCCACGGGGCCTCTAATGTAGAAAATTTTGGGGAAAAAAAGTTTAACTGCCTCACAAAGTTGAGACTGGGCTAGTGCCTGACATATGAGTAGCCCTGGCTGTTCATAGTGGATTTAGAGAGATAAAAACCACGTTGGTGGAAACTGATAAATTAAATGTAACTTGAAAGAGTTCAAAAGATTTCTTCTTCTAGCAATAGAAGAAGACAAAAATTCGTGTACAACCATACTGAATAATTGACATAGCAGCCAATTGTAATTTTCTGTCAACAATTCATTGTTTAAGTATTAATATTTGGGGAAAACATGTTAAAAGAAGTTTAATTGTTTTGTGCAGTGAAATAGATATTTCTCACAATAATTTTACTGAAAGCTCTTTGCCATCTACTTGTCGAGATACACTGTAAGAACAACGTATTTTTCTTTGTTTGAAGAATTTCATTTTACTTTTACATTCTAAACCTTATCTTTTTGTTTATTAATCAGGAATTTGTTCAAAAGCACCTCAGGAGTCAACGACTCGTAAGATTCTTCTTTATGAACTTTGCTATCCCTAACCTCTGAACTCCATTTTCTTAACATTAGCTGATAGATCTTTCTTACACTATTTTTCAGAAAACCTGCTGAATGTCTGAAAAACTATGTTTGTTCCAAAGGTACTCATTCTTCTGCATCAAAGCACATGCTGCTTCTATTATGTTTGCTCATGGCTGATCACTGATCACTATTAATATGTTGAAACCTCTATATAGACAGATATTCATTGCATATAAATTGTGGTGGAGGTGCAACTAAAATTGGAAGCATCACCTATGAAGCGGATGAAGAGCCAACAGCTGCAGCAAAATATGTTCCAATTAGGGAGAGTTGGGAAATTAGTAGTACTGGACATTTCTGGGATAAAAACAGATCCTCAAGCGACTACACAGCCCAAAATTCATCCATCCTCAGGATGGAACACAGCCAAAATTCATCCATCCCAAAATTCATCCATCCTCAGGATGGAGGATTCTGAATTGTATATGAGAGCACGTGTTTCCCCTCTCTCTCTTTCATACTATGCACGTTGCTTAGCAAATGGAAATTACAGTGTGAAGCTTCATTTTGCTGAGATAGTAATGAGGGATAACAGATCCTTCTACAGTCTTGGGAGACGGATATTTGATGTTTATATCCAGGTGAGTAGTCAATGTTATTGAAATGCTTTATCTGTAAGGGAAGATTATCTGATTAAATTTGCATGTTGTAGGAAGATCTCGTGTTGAAGGATTTTGATATTGCAAAGGAAGCAAAAGGGGTAGATAAGGTGATCATTCGGGATTTTAGAGCAGTTGTTAAGGATGGAACTTTAGAGATCCGCTTTCATTGGGCTGGGAAAGGGACAACAGCTATCCCAAGGAGAGGAACATATGGTTCTCTCATATCTGCAATTGATGTAGAATCTGGTTAGTTGTTCCTTTTAAATTATAGAATTTTGTGCTATCTTGTATGGCGCATGTACTAGAATGACATACTGCAGATGCATATCTATATATTATAGGCAGTGAATATTACATAGTTTTGTGGACTTGTTTGTGTGAAGTCTGACCATCCGTGCTATTGCTCTTTTATAATTTTGCATAGAATTCAAACCTCCCATTTCCAGTGAAGACAAAAGGAAGAAACTCATTGTGGCTGGAGCTGTTGTTTTGCCATTGTTCCTCATTGGCTGGAGCTGTTGTTTTGCCATTGTTCCTCATTCTCATTATTACTGGCACTCTTTGGTGGAAAGGTTATTTGGGAGGCAGGGCAGTCAAAGAACAAGGTACTGTGCAAAAATAAAATAAAAAAGCTGGTTTTTCTTTTCATCCCTTCACTTCTTTCCTTTTTTTTTAATTGGACTTACTTAACTTTGTTCCTCGTACAGAACTATTAGGTTTAGATCTGCATACTGGTGTTTTCACCTACAGACAAATTAAAGCTGCTACTAACAACTTCAATCCAACTAACAAGCTTGGAGCTGGTGGATTTGGAACAGTTTACAAGGTATATTACATTGCTTATATCCTATTTATTCTTGAAAACTGTTTATATTCTTTTTCTTACTTGACGTTAGCAAATGAATGATCAACTGTAAAAACAACTATTATTTTTTATTCTTACTTCAGGGAACACTATCAGATGGTACTCTAATTGCTGTTAAGCAGCTCTCTTCTAGATCAAAGCAGGGAAATCGAGAATTCTTAAATGAAATAGGCATGATTTCTGTTTTACAACACCCAAATCTTGGGAAATCGAGAATTCTTAAATGAAATAGGCATGATTTCTGTTTTACAACACCCAAATCTTGTCAGGTTGTATGGATGTTGTGTTGAAGGGAATCAATTATTATTGGTCTATGAATACATGGAAAACAATAGCCTGGAACATGCATTATTTGGTAAGCTTGCTGTTCTGTTGTTTTCTTCAATATGTAGTTTGTGCACCTTGATAAATAAATAAAAAAAAGAAGACAAAAAGAAAAAAAAAAAAAATTGGCAGCGGTGAATTTTATTAATTGCTCATGTATGGTGGTTGTAGAAAGAGAGTCTAAATTGGACTGGCCTACTAGGCAAAGGATTTGTATTGGCATTGCAAAAGGTCTGGCTTTCCTGCATGAAGAATCTGCATTGAAAATTGTTCATAGAGACATCAAAACTGCTAATATACTGCTTGATGGAGAGCTAAATGCTAAGATTTCTGATTTTGGTTTGGCCAAGCTTGATGAAGATGAGAACACACACATCAGCACCAGAGTTGCTGGAACTATGTGAGCTACCCTTTTTCTCTAATCCTTCACTAATCTTTGTTGCATGCTCTTTAGCAGTATGCCTTTGTTTCTTTATCTGATCTCGAACCACAATTATGAGCATGTGGCAAATATGTAGTCCTAATTTCCTCATGTCTTGAAAGTAACTGCAATTATGCCATGATTGTTATCAGTTCCAAACAAAAATAATATCTTTTTATTGGAAATGAATTATTACTTAATTTCGTTAGATGTATAATGGCATAAAATCCACGACAGCATATAAACATAATGTTGTCACTGATGTGGGAAAGGCCTGCTATAAAAGCATGGGAAAGACGCATTATGCATATATCTTTTCCTCACAGTTCCAGTCCCAATAAGTCTAGTGGGGTACATTCTTCTATTGATGTAAATTTCATATATTACATTCTTTTTTACAGAGGGTACATGGCACCGGAATATGCATTATGGGGTTACTTAACTCAGAAGGCAGATGTTTACAGTTTTGGGGTTGTTGCGTTAGAAATTGTTTCTGGGAAGAACAACATGAAATATCGACCAGATGAAGATTTCGTCTGTCTTCTAGATTGGGTAAGATCCTCTATCATGTTCTTTTGAGTTCTGATGCACTTGAATAAAAGCCACACCTAATGCACCTCCTCTATCATGTTCTTTTGAGTTCTGATGCACTTGAATAAAAGCCACACCTAATGCACCAGGATACTAAACGTGAATATCTGTTTGCTTCAAACAGAAACCAAGTTTCTTACTTTTTCTTTTTCTGAGTTGAACTTTTCAAAACATTATACTGATGCCAATCTTTCCGGATTTTTTTTTGTGCGCGCTCCATAAACAAGCGAGAAGTAATTTGTAAAACATTTGAATGTTAAACTGTTGTCAATTCATGTTACATCATGGTTTGTTTGTTAGCCTAGGGAATATATATATATATATATTATATATATATATATATATATATATTTTAGCCCCTTTTTTTTCAAATTTCTTTATGTTGTTTCAGGCTTTTGTCTTACAACAAAAAGGAAACCTAATGGATCTAGTTGATCCAAGATTAGGCTCCAAGTTCAAGAAGGAAGAAGTGATTAGAATGGCAAAAGTAGCATTGTTATGCACTAACACTTCACCTGCTCTCAGACCTACAATGTCTGAAGTAGTAGGTATGCTTGAAGGTCGAACTCCTGTTCGTGAATTGGTCATGGGTTCAGGATTTTATGGTGATGAATTGAGATCAAAAGTCTTGAGCAACCAGAGATCAAAATTATCCTTCATAGTTCAAGTTATACCCCGGTTCTTTTAATACATTCATAAGAAGCAACAATAGGAACTGGCTCACCTATACATCTGTAGATATACTAATGGCATTTAATAATCTCATTACTCAGAACTCGGAAAGTACATCACGGACTTATCCATTTCATGATTTTGCACAAAATTGCTATCATGCAGCTGTCTCTGTTTTTGCAAAAAATTGAAAGAAACAAAACAGATATCATAGTCATATATGTGCGACAAAATAAAGAGAACTACATTTGTTTGGTTCAAATGGAAATAGCTGACATTGGAGCTGAAGATAGTAAACCAATGAACGATCTCTACCCAGGGGGTAGTGAAAGAATTTTAAATGCTACTATATTGATAGTTGAATAATCGTTTACTGCTTCCGTAAGTTAAATCCTTTACTTGTTTGAAATTGCATATATCAAAATTTTGGACTTAAAGAGTGTTACATATGTGTATATGCCAATACAACAACATATTTCTATCCATGAACAGAGTAATCTGTGGTGTTTGAGAGTTTGGAGTAAACAATACAAATGATTCTCATTTGTTCATCATCCGTATCAGAATTTGATGTATCAAATTGAAAAATTTAATGCTAAGCATTTTTAACTTTAATATATAACTGTGTGGAGTTCAAACAAGATACAATTGTGCTTCCACAAGAAGCCTGCACACTCCAACAAAATTTAATGTAGTTTTAATCCGAAATGTACTTGGTATCAGAGACAAGCTGTCGTTCTAACTAACAGGTGAGACATCGTTAAATAAGAGCAACAAAAACTAACCAAGTGTGTAAAAACGAACATTACTTCCGAAGACTGTTTGATCTTTTAACAGAACTGATTGGAGAAATCACACGAAACATAAACAGATAAATAGCGACTTTTTCAATAACTCCAATATAATATATATTTTTTTTTTTTTAATTTTCAATTGACCACAATTAAACTCGAAATCAATTTCTAAAATAAAAATAACTGTCATGTATCAACATCTGTTAAATTAAACAATTGGGGGAAGAAAGACAAGTTAAATTCGTGGATTATATTTCTTGCCAAATAAAATAGTTACAAGTCCTGAAAACGGACAGGCCAACTACAACTCAGTGAATTCAAAGTTACAAAAAGCTATATAAAGAAATTGCAATATCATCGAAATAGTGAAATGAATTCATAAGTCCACGGCACAATTTATTGAGTATTGGAAATGGAATGAAAAGAAATTGTTATCTGTTGAAACTCTAAATGCAGAAGCTTTTGATGAACTAAATTTAATTAAATAAATGAATAAGAAAGAGATATTTGTAGGCCTGCCTTTGCAAAAAGTGAAATATGATGCAGCTTGTTTGACAGAGACATTGCGTCTGAGTTTAACAAGGAAAGCAGAAATTAAATGGCCAAAAGTAGCTTTGATTGTGGCACAAACGCATACGCCTGCAATAACAGACCAACATGTCGAGGTTGTAACTGCTCGAGGTCGTAAGGAAGTTCCGGACGTTGGTTCAGAACAGGAAGCTACACTGTCTAAGGGTTAAGGCAGAAAGACTCGCAAAACTCTCAAAAGTTTAAGTGGGAGTCAAGACCCAAAACCTTAACTACAGAGAAATACATAAGACTCTTCTCATATGAACAATAACCTCCCAGTATGCCCAGATTATCACATAATGAAACCCTACTGTAACGAAAGTATTAATTGACGCTTATTGAAGAACAGACCATTGGTCACGAAGGAAAATGAAAACTTCTTGATCAATTGATCTCAATTGGAAGTTTTGCTGAATAAATACAGGTGGGGATGCCATTGATGTTGTGGTAAATAGACTTTTGCTAAAATTTTATGAAATTATAAGATAATAATTTATTAAATTACAATACATACAAGATGATTATATCACACATAAATTTTATATAGATTGAGAGGCCTGTTCTAATTTGAAAAGATTTTATATCAGATCTGTGAGGATAAACTTTTTATTTAGATCAATTCCATCAATAAGCTCCAAATCGCAAATTGATCATATTGGCGAAAAATGCTTTTTGAGTCAATCCTCGTAAGGGATTCGTTGATCAAATTCATCATATGATGGCTCCTTCACACTCCACAATAATTTTCCATATGCCCCGGAATTTCCTTAGTCTCCTGATAGACGCTGAAGTAAGATAATTTAAAATAATTTAATATTAAGCAGTTCTGTAAGCCCAGTGGTAGGGCATATTGCTTTTAAAGCAAGCGGTCGTGAGTTCGAACCTCCCAAGAGGCAAAATTATTTTATTGGCCTCTATTGTTTATATAATACGTATCATAATAATTTTAACAAATTAAAAGTAATAAAAAAAAAACATCCGACTATCTGAGTCTGAGTTTGTAAAGTGCAGGAATATAGTTAGCAAATCCGCTGCGCTTAAATAGTGCTAAGTAGTAAGTACCTAGTCAGTTTGGAAGGATATCCGTGCTAAAAAAAAAAAAATCTCAGATAATTCTCTGCACAGCGGTAACGTAACGCAATTGCTAGATGAGTCAACAATTTACTTGCATATAAAACCTTGCCATTTACTTATTTTTCTACAATATACAAGGCCCTATTTTTTATTTGTTTAGTGGGTCAACAACGCGCATGCTCAAGCTATCTGATTCTTAACATCTCATTTAATCACACAGCACAGATCTGTCTCATCCGAGCAGGTAGCTTTTCCTAAAATATGCATGTCGTGGTAGTGTAATGGACGACCATTAAACACATTGCCATAGCTCGACAAGGAAAGAGAACAATCGTTTCATATTACATTCAAGTATTATATTGTCGATCATTGAATACTTCATCTGCATAGTTGAAAAGACTCTAAACATTTAATTGACATCTATTCTACCCATTCTTCAAACTAAAAGCATATTTCTTTTTTTACTTAATCAATTACTTTTGTAATAGTTTTGATTATTTGTCATTAATTTACATATGAAATAGATTATTGTTCGACTTATTTGTAAGTGTCCATTTTCAAACTTTAGGAAAATCTTTGAATTCCCCAATCTACTCTAGAGATAAAGCTTGAGATTTTTTGTTTATTCATTAGATAAAATAATACTTTTTATTAGCGAGGATAATATTTGGTAAATTTTTCAAAAAAAATTCATAGTGCAGACTATGGATTAAAGATTATAATGCATAACTATAATTAATTAAAATTAATAGATTTATTTATCTTTTATTACATCAGTAATCAAATATTGAACTTGTTATAAATAGTTCATCAAATTTTCAAATGGTTTAAGTGACTGAGAGAGAGACGAAGAAAGACGCAAAGATGTGGTGATACTTTGAGAACCACCCTCAATCTCCTGATAATGTTGCATTGTGGTAGCAATAACATTGTATCTTAAGACAGCTTAGTATCTTCTAGAATGAACGTATAACTAGTTCAATAACTTCATAACGGAGCGAATAACCAAAATTGAAAAATCAAATATATGGAAATTTGATATGGTGTTTTAGTCAAGGTCTAGCGAAATAGCAAAACATAGTTGGCGAAAACAAGGATTGGAAATTTAATGTGATCTTTGCAGTAATCACATCAAGTGGGCAGACCACAAGTTCAGCAGATAAGCACTGTATAACATAGTGTCAAATCCTCAACTGCTGCTACCCATGGCTTGCCATGTTATTTGAGCAGTTAAAGAAGAATCATTAATATTTATACAAATATAATATATCAATTTCGAAGTTTTTACCCACTCTTTTTGATAGGTTCTAATGCGAATCTTTTAAATTAGACAGATTTCATAAAGGGAGATCTTGCTACCGTGTTTTCCAAGTCAATTTTTTAGTTATTTTTACTTGTTATTGATGTCAATATATCTTGATTCATTCAGGTGTTATTACAGATGGAAGATAATAAAAAATTAAGTATAAATATAGATTTTTTTATTAGTAATGAATGTTATTCTTTTTAATTTATGTGAAATAGAAAGTTGATTATTTTTTTAAAATAAATGAAGTAAAATTCATAGGTGCAGCATTCGTGTGTAGTTTCTTATGGAGAATACATGGGAATTGACTTTAGGACATTGAAATGATTGCCTCAGTGGAGCATTAATATTTGAAATGGATAAGAATTTGTCATTAAGTATTTTGCTGTTCTCTCTATGGTTGGCTATGACTGTCTCTCGCTCTCTTCAAAAAGAAATCGAAAATCTTTTCAAAACCGTCTCATCGA